AATGAGCAGATCACGAATTCTGCTCGGCTTTTTTAGTACTTGGCATTAAAACTGACGTCAGAAGGCATACCTCGAATAATTCTGTCTGAGTGAGTACAAAAAGCGGGCAATTAAGGACTATTAATGTCTGAAAACTGCCGACATCATTTTCAAGTCCTGTCGAGTGGAGCACTCACTCACCGACTCAACAAAGCGTAAAAGAAACCGCTTCAATGCTCCGGCCGTAAGAATGTCAAAATTAATCTCTTTCTGCTTTATGTAACTTTTTCTTACACTATTTTCCGCACAACTGAGATATCGACATTTCTGTAATTGCACAGTTGTGGGATGCGATTTCTCCGGGCGAGGTCTACCGTAGTTGATAACCCAAGGTTTTCGCAGGGTCAGCTGTTTTGTTGAAAGAAGTGGTAAACGGAATTCTACTAACAAGTCGCGATAAGTAAATAAATCACTGCTCATTCATCATCTCAAAGCGAAGACCAACAGTGGTTCAAATTCTATTGTATGGCTCTTTATTTTAACTGAGTGAAATGAACGAACAAACATGTCTGTGATTTATCTCTTTACACCGACAGCTTTGTCCGTAATGTGCAGTTTGAAGCTCGGCTTACATATCTGTAATCGTAGATCTTCGTATTTTGTTAACTCTGAACGAAAGACCCGCGAATTCCTATCTTTCAGATCTAAGACCTGACCTAATTTGAGAATTGAGCGTTTTGAAACAAATCATACGATGTTTGCGTCAAACAAAGCAGAAAAACTCGCAAAGAACAAAGAATTTGATCACTAGACGAGAACCTACGTTAGTCTATTATCTTGCCAACAGGTCTTCCTGTGGCTCGCACGCAAAATAGAAATCACAAGGTTATCAATAAAGTGATACATTCTCAAGAGATAGATAGGGAGAAATATCGAGACAACTGTAATCGAAATATGACCTCTTTTAGCTTGGAGGCCAACACAACAGATTTAACGAATCATAGTCCCCTTGTAACAAGATTCATTAAAAAAAAAAAAAAAAATGTTGGAGTTAACAACTCCAAGTTTTTTTTTGTTTTTTTTTTTTACTTACTAAATCAAGATTACAAAATCACGTGTTAATTATTTTTCCGGCCTTAAAAAAATTACTCTATCAAGGAGACAAACAACTCCCTCCCACGTCATTTCTGAACTAAACCCAAAGTAAACAAGAGTAAAATTACTTTTGGCTGTTTGTACTAGATTTTAAAACGCTAGTTATCAGAGGAAACTGAGAGAGCTTAACATGTCTTTGAAATCAGCATTAATCTCGTCGTCTACGCTTTCTTTCGTAAATATTTGTGGAGGGCTGAGGTTTTCGGCTGAGTGGCATACTCGAGTGTCGGCTCGACTTGAGAGTTTACGGAAGATTTCTAAACGACTTATACTTCATAAGACGATTTATCTTTAAAGATTTTTCTAAACCAGTAATTCTAAACCACTACATCTAAACCACTACACTTACTATCAACAGCAGCTTTATAACGGGAGAGGGAGGAATAGAAACTTGTTTGTTATTCACTTAAAGGCTGCGAAAGAAGAGGTGAATGAATTGTGGGGGCGTGGTCAGTTGCTTTGTACTTTCTACTGTTGGCTCCCCTGGCGCTATGTTCAACTCGTTTGATACCTCTGTGCAAATTATCTCCTAGAGGTGCGTCTATCGAACAGAATTTACTGTTTACCACTGATAAGATATGTTGTGGTGACGCGATATGCAAGAAAAATTCCATGTGCATGTGAGCATAGGCACGATTATTTTCAACACTTTGTATCAGTAAGCCCTCAAGCCGGAAAAAAAAAAAAGAATAAAAAAAAAATTAACCACTTTTCCGGTTTTTTGTCTGTTTCTACTGAACTTTGACCCGCTTGCGTAAGTAGCTCTGGAATAATGGAGAACCAAAATCACAAATTTCCCAATTAATAACGTGCTCTGCGTCTCCATTTTTTACGAATGATTTCAGAAGGCTCTTTACTCATGTTAGCCATTCGTCCACGTTGAAACAGCACCCTTTTTGCCTTTCAAACGTGACTTGAAAATTTAAGACTTTTGGGACATTGAAATGGAACTTGAACGAAAATGCCCTCGTCACTCTGACGGTGAAATCGATTATCATCAGCACAGGAAGCTAGCTGATGCTTGTAATCTTTTATTCCTACTTTCGCTCGAACCTGTCACATAGTAATATGTTAGACTTCTTCCTGCTATTCACAAGACAAAACATCTTAAGGAAACGGCGGAACTCCTGAAGGTAAAGGAGAAGGTGTCTTCAACTTCCGAGCTTGTCTGTTTTAAGTAAGATGTTATCTATATCTTATAAGATCCTTGCTTTGTCGTGGCAATAATAATCCGGTACCCTTTATTTATTAATTTTTTTCCTTTTTAGGCGGAGTTTGGCATGTATAAGGAACACAACATAACGACTCAATGTGTTCAAGCAGGCTCTCTACGCTTTTCTGGTGAAAGTAATCTCCCTAACCTGCCTCCGTGCCTTGTCTCCTTTGCCGTATTCTTTAGCCAGTCACCCTCTACTGCTTCTTCAATTGTAAAGGAAAAAAACTATCTGATCATTGATGTTTAGTCACCACGTAACCCAGACGGAACAGACTTAGAGTATCTAACTTTATTTTCTTTCTGCAATCAGGTACATTTACTTGTGCATGTTTCTGTACCTTCCACATGATTTAAAAGTATTTGACAATTTTTTTTGTCAATTTTAACTTAACCTGCTTACTTAATGAAATGCGTCGTGCTATGGACCCCGCAGAGTTAAGTGGGATGACTGTGACCTGTCTGCCAGCCGAGATGTTATAAGATATATGTTCAAATTAATAAAGATTATCTTGGTCACGTATGTTTGGGTGTATAGTGAAATGAATTGTGATTGATATATAATGACACGTACAAACAAGGCCATGAGTCAGTGAACAGAACAAAATTCTTGTAGCAACAGAACATGTAGTCAAGATTCTTCAGCTTGACTCTGTCGTAAAAAAAAATTAAGTAGATTTATGCACAGCAAATAAAGTGTGGCTCGATCCCTGTCATGGAACAGTTTCAAACCAAGTGGATAACTAAAACTTATGTTTATTCAAGTTGTTCAGGAAGGGATTTAACAATTTTTCCCGTTCTTTTGCGATCGTCTTCTTTCTCCGTTTACAACAAAAAAAAACGTTTTCTTTTTCTGTCATGCTTCAATGTTTTTGTTCCCCACAAATGATAATTTAAGTTTCTCTTTTTCTTCTAAAGTTGACTGAATTCTTGCGCAGAGCTTTTGAGTTAGATTAGTCATCGGAGCTGGCAAAGCCGAAGGAAAACCTTAACGCAAAAACTACTGATGCACGACTAAGATCGTTAAGACTCTTAAGCATTTCCGTCCTTCTTCCGTTTCAGCACTGAAAACCTCAGAAGCCAGTATTGTTAAAACTTTGGCAATCCTTGATTACCAAGAGACGACTCAGTGCGACTCCAGACAGCCTACGCGCACGGATTGGAAACTAAATAGCTCAGAACACTTCAAAACACTCAAATTCATTTATTACTTTTGGTTTCATGTTAGGAAGTAGACCTTGGGGTATATATTGCGGTTTGAGAAGATGGAAGCTAAGTGAAGTGGCGGAAAAGACATGATAAATGAAGTAATCAGTATCAGAGCGGACTGTCAGCATAGAGCGCTTTCTTTTCTTCGCTGATTGGTCAAAGCGATTGCCCAGGGAGCGAGCGTAACTCTAGGTAATTAGTCAGATCAAGAACAGACTGAGCAAAAATATAAATCGGTGGATCTTTTTTTTCGATCGCAACACCCTAGTTACGCATAGAAGACAAAAAAGCTAGTTAAAATTTCCATTTTTTAAAAAGGAAAATTAATTTTACGTAAAGTGCATAATATTTAATGACTCGGTAGCGTTGTTACAAAACAGATTATATTGTTAAGTTATTTTACTCCCGAAATTAATTGTGACGTAAGATGGCTGAACTTGGAGTTAATTTTGACAGTGAATTTTCTTCAAGAAACGTTTGGGTAGGGATTGCTTTGTGACCAGTAAGAACACTTGACGCGAAAATGGGAGATTCGAAAGTAAAATCTAAATCATTCATCAAAAGACGTTAACTTCCAGAAAAGACTTAGCCGCCAAAACCTCAAGCTCTTAAATGTTTAGCGACCTTTCATAGACCTTGTGGCAAACCGACATAGTTCTTGGTTGAACTCGCCAAAGTGACTCATCGGCATTGTAGGTTTCGCTATTGATGTTTTTGTTTTTTCGCTTTTTTATGTGTTTTGACTTAAAACAGAGCGGCAAGGTGAGAGGTTCCCACACGCGGCTTTCGATGATGTAACAGGCGGCTGTGTCCCAAAGAAAGGCGTAAAGCGAAACCACCCAAACATGAGAGCGTACTCGCACGTTGAATAGACGACGACAAGAGGTCTTGAACGTATCCGTCTGACGGATCAAGCTGGCAAAGAGTTTGAGGTTTCTTATCAATTTGTGTTTGAATAAAGTCAAGTGTAGGGTGAGACAGCTGAGGTTCTCCCGGCTTTGTGAGCTTTTGCATGTACATCTCTTGCATATTCTACATTTCAGCTCACTTAAAAGTGAACGATCACATAAAAAACACGACAATCTATCGCAACGATGGCTTTTATTCAGAAATTGTGTTATTTGCACACTCCGTATAATTATAAAAAATGCTATCGTTTGAGGTGGGAAGTCGTCCACACCGCTGTAAAAAAATAGTCCGCATATCTTCCATTTTGGCTCGTTCCCAATTTCAATAAATTAAATTTGTTTGCCGCCGATAATTAACTTAATGTCAGCAAAAGAGCGAAAAGTGTTTGTTGAATAATCTGAGAATCTAGTTGGTAGTCAAAGTTGAGATTCTATATCTGTTTTTTCGGAATTTTTTTCAATTTTGAGCAAAACATGACATTTCACATTTCATGGATATGGTACGATTTCAAAAGAAATTAACCAGCTGGAAGAAATAAACCAGCTGGTGATCATAAATCTTAAACACAACGTTTATCAAGCTAGAGTACCATCTCCAATTGTCAAAGAAATAAAGAAATAAACCAGCTGGTGATCATAAATCTTAAACACAACATTTATCAAGCTAGAGTACCATCTCCAATTGTCACCACCGTAGCTCGAGGTGCGCTATTTGGCGCTCTATCCTGCACCATAACCTGAACGCTCCCAGACGGACTATTCCCTCTCAAGGAAGTGGAGCTCTGTGCATGTTCTAGAGTTTGATGACTCCTTTGGAGCCGGAAGCGCCGCAGCTCCAGTTGGAAGCGATATTGCCTGTAAGATCGTTGAATTATGGTAGCAGCACGGATTTCCTGAATTCTTTTCAACGTTGTGCTTTCCGTCTGAGTTTTAGCACGCTTTGGAAAAGCGCTCACGAAATGATGTTCCATGCGGGACTTCATTAACGCGAACGCAACCGAGCCTTCTTCTTCAATTTCGCCGATAATTCGTCGCACCAAAGCCTGCATCACATCAAAACAGTGAATTCTGTCCCCTTGTTTGATGGGAATATTTAAGTGAATGCAAGCAAATTTGTTCGGCTGCGGTATTCTCAAGGGCTGTTCGAGACCGTCAACAAAGTCGGACAACTGCGAATAAAGAATGTATTGGGTTGCATTCGGGTCAAACCGCTCCCAGTGAGTATAAAACATTTCTAAATCATCATCCGTGATTCCGACTTCGTCCTGTTGATGAGCTTGGCTTAGATTCTCTAAAATAATGGCTATGTACATGTTGATAATGATTAGAAAAGTCGATAATATAAAGGTGAAGAAATAAAGAATTGCTAGCCATGGTATTCCACAGTTTCCATTTGGTTGCCCTAGATAATTTTCATCGCAGTCTGGAGGTTTTATTAACAGCGGTTCTAATACATCGTTCCAACCAGCAGATGTGGAAAGACGGAACAACAGTAACATACTACTGCCAAAAGTCTCGAAATTCACTAATTCGTCGAGTGCGCCTGTCTTTTTTACATAACCAAACGATGACATTCCGATGATGGCGTAAATAAACATAACAAGGAAGAGGAGGGCTCCGATGTTGAACAGAGCAGGTAGAGAGATCACCAAAGCAAAAAGAAGCCGGCGAATACCACGTGCGCCTTTGTAAAAACGTAGCAGCCGTCCAATTCTGAAGACACGTGCCACGCGGAATAAACTGGGGGTGACTATGAAGCTGTAGTCAAGATATTCCACGATAATGCCTGAAACGAAAAGAATAAGAAAATCAATACCTGTACATGCATATGAACTTACTGAGTGGTTGGGCAAAATAAAGGGGTCTCTAATGCCCGCAACATCAGAGGCAAGAAACCAATCAGATTGTGTAATGCGAAAACTGCTTTCGGCACATGATGTCGCAATATAAAAACCAAGAGATTATAATATATTGCACAAACACAACAGGAGAACATCGTTTGTTTTGCTCGAAGAATTCAGTTCGGTAGTGAAGCGAATCAGTTCTCTACAGGCAAACTTGATACCCAGTTGCTTACTCAACTTTGACCGAGTTGTTCGTTCCATCAAGCACTCACTTAGCGCTCTCTTCATGTCGTGTCTAGGCTTTCAATTTCCAGGGAAAAGCTTCTTTCAAATCTTAAACAAACTACGCGCACGAAATGCATGATGTTGCCCACTCTTAGGAAAGGTTCACTAAATGAAAAGATCACCACCTCACCGCGTATTGTGTGTGCGGTCTTAGATTTTCAAAGATAACTGTCTCGAAGAATCTAGAAACACGATTTTTTCCCTTAATTAAATATCAAAAGAACTGAGACTCTGAAAAACACAAAAAGCAACATCATAAAGTAAACCGGCCACACGTTTTAGAGAAAGTTCCTAATCTAACTCTAGAGGTGATTTTTTCAATATTGTTTCACGGAGGGACTCTTTGCCTTTTTTATTTTTGAAGGGTTAGCAGTTTAGGAGTGCACACCTTCTTGTCATGGTTCGGATTCTTTAAAAACGCAGTTTCCTCGGTTTTCGTAAAATTAGCGAAGTACACATCTGCGGCTTTTTAGGAATTTTGCTTTCGTAATGCGACCGAATTTCAGCCAAGAAAAAAACGTTCGTCGCGCGACTAATTATCAGAATATATGTAAAAAAATTAGATAGATTCAATCGTAATTTAGAGTCCTCGACTTGGTTGCTTAGCTTCTGTTTCCACGTGGGATTGGAATTTGAGTGCGGTTTATGTGGTGAAATTAACTCGAATTAAAAATACCGCCCTTAATTTCAGAAAAAGGAGTCTTTAAATTGAGACCTTAAATATACGGGAAAGGCACAACAGTATAAACAGAAAACGAATATTTAGACAACGGAGGGAACAGAACTAAATATTGTTGAAGTACAAAAGTCGTTAAGAAAGATTTTTAAAACTTGCCACATAGCACCACGGTACCAAGTCTAATATCAAATTCGCCTGAAGCGAATTCCACCACCAGAAATAAAAATATATAGACTTCCGTTCGTTTGAAGTGCCGGAAGACAAAACTAAAGGAAAACCAATTTGACGGTGTACAAATATCGTGCATAAAGGCGGAATTAAAGAGCTGTATAATGCTTCCCGCAATGACAATATCTCAGCTCACACATAATAACAACACGAATATGTAAAAACCCAGTAAATATTTTACGCCCATTGAAATATATTCCAAAAAAAAATAAGAGCCATAACATTTTATTTTCCAGTTACAACATGCAAGTGAAAGTAATACCATGAAAGCTATAAAAGGGTAGTTAAGTTTCTCAAAGATTTTTTTCCTTCCGAACTACTCGGAAAATACTTATAGAGTACCTACCCCACAGGTTTGATATATATAAAGTCGTATCAGTGAATACAAGATCATTGATTCACAAAAGAAAAATGACAATAAAAAGGCGTTTCATCGAACGATTACAAAAGCGTTTCAGCTAATTCTTGTAAATGTTCACATTAAAAAATTGCCCCCTAGGAACTTTTGGCATTCTATATTGCTTGACTAAAACGTTTCGATAGACAAACGGATATACATGCTGGAAGATTCTCTTACGTAAGCTTACCGCAATCCCGCTGAAATTTATCCTTTTAAGCTTGCCGCCATCAATTACAATTAATTATTATAAACCACCAGCCAGATCTTATGTATGGGTCAAAAAGAAATCAATGGTCAACCACAAAACTTGCTTATCCTTCACTGGTGTCATAAAAAACTAAGAATTGACAGCGTAAGCTTATTATGAGATGTTGAGATGATTGTATTCGCCAAAGAAACATTTTTAGATAGGACTTAAATGACCGGCAAACGCCTTCACACTCTCTTTCACTTTTTTTTTTTCTTTGGCGAATACAATCATCTCCCCCCAATTTAATGTTTCATGGTGTTTATAACTTGAAATGCTCACTAACTTCAGGCAACTTTGTTTGGGGAAATGGAGGAACTTTCAAGCAATTTATCAGAGATAAAGAACAAGATTTCAGTTTGTTATATCCACTTTAAAAATAACAATAACTTAGTTTGTTTCTGGCAAACCAGAAGAGTTAAACGAAGTCTATAAAAACTCGAGTGCAACTTTTCTCACCAGTTTCGCCTCTATGCGAAAGAAGATAAGTCAAGCCAAGATTTAAACGTGTGTTATTATAACTCTGGCAGGCTCCTTACCTATAATAGACAGTATCACAATGGTGAAATCGAAGATGTTCCATGGCTGTGTAAAGTAATGAAGACGAAGAGCAACGATCCTGATCACAGCTTCCAGAAGAAATATGGCGGTAAAGACGAGATTTATAACATGTGAAGACCCGAGAAAAATCAGGATCATAGTTAACGAAAATATAAAAACCTTCTAAACAATGATGTACTCTTAACTTTTCAGATTCCATGACGCAACTTTTAAAAATAGTTATATTTAGGATTTCATTGTGATCATTAAGATCTAAAAAAGATCAACAACGTGTCTGTTATCAGTTCATGTGGAGCTAAAAAAAAATGATCATTCTCCGAGGCAAGTTCGTTGTGTTTTCATTCATTTGTTTCAAGTAATTTCTAATTAATTGTCTTGTCTTACAGTGCGCTCCTTGGAGTATACCCTTCCTATTTCACCGTAGCATGCTCCCGCGTCAGTCAAACCGCCAACCTTACGTAGCACACCGTTTTCTTGCGAAAATTGTATTTAATGACGATTTATCAACTTGACTGTTCAACATCTTTTTCAGAGCTCATAACTGTAAAAAGGATATTCAGTGTGAATTGGACCTCTTCACTCTGACCATAATGTTGAATCATCATAACCAGCATGTTGAGACAGATCATCGCCATTATCGCGGTTTCAAACCTTGAGCTGTGAATCATATCGAACACTTTGGCCTGCCATCTCACCTGCAATAACAAGACAATTCACCAACCCTCACTCTTGCGTCTGTATGCGTCAATGGGTATATTTTGTGGAGTCTTCTGTTGAACGATTCGCATCATAACAGAACATTTGTTATAGGTCCAAGCTCTAAATTATGCTGCCGTTAAATAACAAGGTTTTTGTGGTGAAGCTTGAGAAGCTACAAATTTTCGGCGAAGGCTTTACAATCGTGAACGAGTAAATACCTCTAGTAGGTGAAGCGTTAACCTGCCCGTTTACTTCTCGATTCTGATTTTCAATTTCGATAAAAGATCGGTTTTTCTAGAAAATCACGTGTGCAAAGCGATACGAGGCTTATCCGACGATTCCTAATTAGAGCACGCAATCATAAAACACAGATTTCTTATTCTACTTTTGGCCAGACCTATGCCACGACCTCAAACAAGTTCACACGAACTACTGACCCCGGGTCTACTGATCATTTTCTTCGGTTTCTTGTTCGCAGCTTTCTTCAGAGTGTTGAACCACGCCTTCTGGGACGGCGTCAGAAAGATGTCAAGCGCTCCGCTGTCTTCATACTTTAGAAGAAACAAATTCATGGAATTATTAAAAAAAAAAAGTTTCTAGAATAAATCCGTGACTTTTCTCTTTATCGTCACTGAACTAGAGCTGAATCGATGAATAGAACAGAGCTAGAATTTGGAGTAAGTAAACAAAACTGATGCGTTTTTTAAATTCACCACACGAGATTCCCTGTTCCAGCATAAGTGACTATGGAATATTATTTATGTCAAAGCTAACTATTGACCAAACAATGCCATAAAAAGTTTCAAGAAGTCGCTTTGCTTCCTTAGTTGAGCGTTTGTTAAGCATAGTTTCTACACTTCACAAATACAGCAAAATAGAACAGGAGCACCATCATACATAGAATCAGGAACCAGAAGAGCGATGGTAAAGCTTTAATTTTTACCTGTTTTTTCAGTCGATTGAAGTTGTCGATTATAACTCCGATGAAAAGATTCAAGGTGAAGAAAGAACCGACGATTATAAACACAACGAAGTATAAATAAGGAAAGAAACGGTACTGGCTTTCCGGCTGCTGTCCAACCTAAAAAGGAAAGAGAAGAAAACTTTTCTTTAACTTTAATTTGTAGAAATATCGTAAAACAAAACGGTTGTCGGAGATTTTTTGAGGTCTAAATCATACCATCGTGTTGCGATACCGCCAATTAAAAAAAACTTAAAAATCACATCGACTTCTTAAAAACTGGAAGGCAGGTGACGCAATGTTTTTCCCCCGGATAGAACGCTTGCATGACAAGATCAAACAACGTTTGCGACGGAAGTCTGAGCCAGCTTACGAACCGAAGGGAAACGCTTGAAGCCAAGGAGCGTAGAAAACATTCCTACCTCTCTAGCGTCTACTGCGTCTCTCATGATCTCCATCCAACCTTCAAATGTCGCCTGTACAAACACAATGACTTAGTGTCAAATCTTGGTTAAATATTTGATGGGAAGGAACGGGAGGGTGGAGGCGAACCTCACGATAATTTTCCCAGAGAAACTTACTGTCTTTGTTATTATAAATCGACACAACGGACAGTGACTTCCTGCGGAGCGTCAGATCTTGATTCGAAATTTAGATTAAACACATTATGGAGTAGCAAATGGTTTCATATGAGTTTGTTATTCCGTTCGGAAAGCTTTGAGCACCTCTAAAATACCAAATTGAAGGGAAAGTGATGTTTTTAATTTTTTTCATGCGCACAAGAGAAAGAGAAGCAGAGGTTGTAACAGAACAATATGTTAAATGTTTGGGATGTTTTGAAGTGTTTAAATGTATTCGAACTAACTATAAGAACTCACCACTTGAAAAAGAGCTATGAAGCCATTCGCAGCGTTGTCAAAATTGATATTCGAATTTACCCAACGAAGTTTAAGCCTATCACAATCCGTTTTATTCTGCACAATGCTGATAGGTAGCCTTTCCCCGTTGCTGTCGATGCATTTGTAAAAACGCCCTCCGAAAAACTGAACACCCACAATGCTGAAGATGAGCCAGAACACCATGCACACCAGTAGAACATTGCCAATTCCAGGGATTGCAAACAGCAGAGAATTCACCACAACCTTTGTGAAAAATAGTCAAATGGATTTCAATCAAAACAGGATTAATTTACAATTAGTTTTCATGGATTTGATTATCATCAATGGCCGAAGTCCATTACCTTCATACCCTCCCAGCGGGAAATGGCTCTCAAAGGTCTGAGGGCCCGCAAAGTACGTAGGGAACGAAATGCCGCCAGGCTACTGTCGCCATCTGTAGTTTGATTCGCTACAACGGTGAGTGACATCTGTGAACAAATGGATGACACGTATGTTGTTATTATAGGGTTATTATTCTCACTCTAAAGGTAGGGCAGTTTTAATTTCTGACAAAATGACTGACAGACCAACTGAATGAATGATTGACTCCCTGACCAACAAACGGACTGATTGACAGATTGACTGGGCGCTAAATAACAAACCGACTCTCTCACTTACTAACTCGTTAATGAAATGAATGAATAAGTGACTGAGTGATCAGCTGTTTGAATGACAAACTGACTAGCTAAAGAATTGACTGACTGATTGACTGATTTAATAATTGAATTAAAGCCATTGGCTCATCATTATCATGAGTAATCAACTGCCAAGAAACTACAGTTTTGTTTAGTCCAACTTTATGTTATTATATAACATTAGATCAAGTTTTATCCATTGAGACCAGAAAGTGGGAAGAAAGATATATCTATTCATATATCTAAGGGATTTTCTTTGACACAAAGCCGTTTTTAAACTATTTCTTACGTTTTTTAAACTTTAGTTTCTCAAGTTAGTAGCCATAGCTAGGAAATTACCAACTCTCTTTCAATTCAACATTTATCCAATAGTTTACACATTTTATTTTTTTTAAAAAAAAAGTTTAAAACGTTTTCGAACTTCAAGTTTCGGACATATGAGATAAGCTACGTTAGAAGAAAAAGTTATTATTAAGAAACATTTATTGGTGATTATCGATTTTATATTCTTACAGAGTTTAGTTCTTCAATAGATTCAACAGCCGTGAGAATGGATATCTGAAAAAAATCAATATAATTTAAGTAAAGCTGTCAATTAGGGAGAAATGATAAATAAGAAAAAAAAAAAAGAACTAAAGATCTATCTCGTGAATATATTTTATCTGCAAAGTTAATCTTCAACTCATGCATTCCACGATAAAAGTGTTTGCAGATTTGAAGAAAAAAATTAATAATATGAATCTCAAAGAAGTCTCTTTTATAATATTTACTCTTTGAATATCCATAAATGAAATGTTCATTTTACAATTAAGTTGATCAAACGTATAGAATTTTAACTTACAGCGACAATGACCACATCTAAACAATTCCAGGCATTCTTGAAGTAAGTCACTAAGCCTAAGCCGATTGTCTTCATGATAAATTCCAAAGTGAAAACCACTGCAAAAACGATGTTTAAATAATCCAAAACTTTTTTCAGTGTTGGTTTCTTGTCCAAGTGAATGTCCTCAAAAATCTGAAAAGAAAATTTTTGACTGAGGAAGGCAATCTTTAAACATCGCTAAGAAATATAGGTTTCGCAAAACAGCAACTACAACTTCTGGATATTGAGATTATTTTAAACTAGTTAAGGTATTTCATCCTTCGACTGCAGAGTTTTGAACACTCAGTAATGTTTCTTTATCAAAGATGTGGCTTGGAACAAATGGTGGAAAGTACATAGGCTATGCAGTTAATTGAACAAATTAACGACAACAAGAACATAATTCTCCCGATTGGTTCAAACCAAATGACACGAAGTTCCTTTGCTTTGTCTGTATTAAACGGCTAAAGACTGTTTGCAAATAAAAAATGTTTCAATGCATGAGTAAAATCGAGGAGCGTATGAGAGGGCAAAGTGTAGCAACCTCTTTCTTTCTTTAGAATATCAGCGCCGTATCACTGAACTTCCGGAAAATGCCCCTAAGAAGTCTCCAATTCGAAAAATCCTTCTCTAAGACCTTTTTATATTCCCCATAAGATCTCAAGCCTCTTCTCTCAGCACCTTACCAGTGTTACGCTACTAGCCACAATGATCACGAGAATGGCCCACTCGAAGTACCGATGTTCGACAAATTTTTTGATCCTATGACGCACGTTTCTCCACAAACGATAACCGCAGGATCGTTTCCACATAGCGATGCAGTTGCAAGTGCAGCGTTTCGTGCAACATGGACAGCATTCTTGCACCTCCGTCATGGCGGGATCAGCCGGCTGGTCAATCTGGGTACTTTCTCGCGGGCTGGATATGGCTGCTGACGAACGAGCTAAGCTTAGTACTGTGCTCGAAGTTATGGAGTCCTTGTTTGCTGCTTCGATTGCGATGGAAAGCTGCAGACGAAAAGATAACAAAGATTGGTTGGATTCGAGAAGGTCTCTGCGTTTTATGGTATATACTCGCCTCCCAGCACCTGATGATCACGCAGATTTGTTTGTCTAGTCGCGGGTTAACCACCGCTATTGTTTGAGCACTAGACGAATCAAATCAAGTAGCGAGTTACGTCAAATCTAAATGAGACAAACCATCGACGAACGGAGAGAGTATATCGTGAATCTTGTAAAATTCAAGGGGAACTAGCATAATCGAAAAAGAAATAGAAATTTACTGTAACAGAGTCAGAGTAAACAGAGTTCCAAGTTGTCTTTCAGTAACATGTTGGTGGATTAAATAGAAGATTCGGGTTAGGCTCTGAGCTTCTGCATTTATTTCTTATTCCAAGCTTTCGCCGATCCACGGCATAGTCAGGGTCGATTTAAGTAAGTAACAGTGAGTAACACAACTATATTTCTAAATGGTAACTTCATACTATGCCTTTGGCACTAACTGCTAAAAAGTATAGAATCCAGTGGCACTATGAACACGACTTTCCGATTGATACTTTTCGATCATGAACTTGAGATGTGCTACCGCTGAGCCACAGGATCCTCGGAATAATTTGACCATCTAATTCAACTCATTTAACCTAACAACTCATAATTAAAAGCCTGGTTATTCATGCAGTGCGTAACACAACCACACTTCTGAAAGATATTTTCATAGTATGCCTATGACACTCACTGCTAGAGAAAAGAACCATGACCCAGCTGAATCATGAAAAAAGTGTAATAGCCACACCAGACTATTTCATAAATATCCTTTTAAACTCTTACTGGTTTTGACGGATTTTCTGTTTCATTTTTCTTTGTTGAGCCTGTTTGTTTTTAATAATCATTGTTGTTACTATTGTTTCTTCAGTAAGTAACACAACCATACTTCTAAAAGGAAATTTTCATGGTATGCCTGTGACACTTGCTGAATGAAACATCAAGTCCAGTGTTTTAGGAACTGAGTGCTACGTTTATAAGACATCACACTGAGCTATCTCGCTGATATGATGGGTCTTTTCAAACTCTTACCCGTTTGACAGTGTCTCTGTTGAGTTTTCCTTTCTTCTGAAAAGCTGTTACTGCATTCATCAGCGCAGGAGTACCATTAAGGACGTCTGTGACAAAGTAAAGGTAAGAGAAATCACTTGCTAACCCTGTCACAAAATGATGTTTCAGCAGGTGAACATATTTCTTAAAGATGATTTACCTCCGCTCTCCGAGTTTCCCTCTGGTTTTGGTCCATCCTCGCTAAGGGCCTGGGAACCAAGTGAAGGTTTGACCTGCGCTTTCCGCTGGATCACACTATTTAGGCGCAGAACTCTGCTGAGTCGCTGGACCCCTTGAAAAAACCTGCTCGGTTTAGACTCCCCCTTTTTATTTGCGTCATCTTTGAGGGACTCGCGAGCAAAGGCATTAAGCAGCAGTGCAAGAAATAAGTTTAAAACCTGCAACGCGAATTTCAAAATTAGAAAACGTTGTTTCTTTGAACATAACCATATACATGCTTACTCAAAATAAGCAAGTAGTGAATCTCTCGTACGACTCACCAAAAAATTTCCGATGACTAAAGCTGTCAGAAAGAACAGGAAGGACACGGGGCTCGTCGCCCGCATACTATCATACAGCGGTTCTATCCATTCTCCACAAAGTACTCTGAATATCATCATGCAAGCGTGACCAAAATCGTTGAAATTCCAGCGCGGAATATCACCGCCGAATTTCTCTTCTGTGTAGACGCTGCATAAGAGAAAAACACTCACATTATGTCCAGTTCATTTCATGTCAAAAAGTCCATTCAGGAAAATTTTTTTTCCATATTACCTTCCAAATAACTGCATTCCGACAACTGCTAACATGTACACAATGATCCCCAACACCAAGGTGAGGTTACCAAGCTGACCAATGCTACTGGCGATTGTTCTTAGTAACATGTTCATTGTCTCCCAGGACTGGGCAAGTTTGAAAACACGCAGCTAAAAAAGACAGAAATGTTTAGGTCAAAGGAAGAAAACTTTTACTAGCAGATTTTGATTCCGCCGCAAGTATTCTTATATGTTTCAATACGACAAACTAGATGTCCAAGCTTGAAATCTAAACAAACCTTGCTAGTTTTTTTTATGAGAATCAGTAACAAATAGTTCGTTCTTAAATAAATTTCAGACTCGAGATAAACATAACTCGTTTTTTTAAATGAACGACCATTCTTTATTTGAGGTCCATAATTTAACTGAAAATGTCGATCTCGCCTCCACGACGTCCATCAGTCATATTGGATGTTACATCGAGAAAGCACCGTATAATAAATTAAAACTCGCAGTTTACAAATGTTTGAGTATTCGCTGAAAAGCAAGGATGAGCTTGAGAAGCTAAAAAAGGTTAAAAAGGCTTCTAAGAATTACTTACAAGTCTGAAAGTCCTAAGAACGCTGAGTCCTGCTCCTTTGCCGTCAACAGCGAGCTCGAGAATAAGGTCCACAACGCTTATTACCACAATGAAACCGTCAAATATATTCCAACGACTTTTCACGTAACCTCGTGGACCTAAAGAAATCAACTTCAAGACCATCTCCAAGACGAATACAAACGTGAAAACCTAAGGTTAAAAAGATTCATGCCTTTAGAAAACTGCAGTACGATTCTCGCCGTGAAAAACTGAACTTTTTGCTATAACTTTGGCTGCTTTCTCAGCGTTTTTGTAAAAATGAATTAAACAGGAGCTCTACTGACAGAATCCAATTTTTCAAGCTCATTTCTAGAAATTAACAGGGGTAGTGGATCGTAAGGAGAGGGATAGGGTAGGGGATTCATCGCACACCAAGCCAAACGTACCTTCTGACTCAATTTCCAAAAATGATCTTGACTTTGTCCGATACGTTCTTGATCGAATTAAAAATGCACTTGTTCCAAAAAAAAAGTCCCACATCATTGTTTTTGACCACTCATACTCCTGATTAAACGATTTGTGAGAAGATAAAGGCATTGAATATTTTGGAAAACCAATTTAATGCTACACTAGTGACACTTCCCGCATCAAGACAAGCTACAGTCCCTTTGCCTTCCTCCTTTGCTCCTGAAAAAGTTGTTTCGTAAAAAATAACTGGACAAGTTCAACTATACCTACCATATTCCCAACAGCCAGAGCTACTCTAAAGTTCTCGTTCATTCCATGATATTCCAAAGATAAAAACAAAGTATTTACAAGTATACAAAATGTAATGAACATATCAAACAAGGGATCCATCGTCAGCTTAGAAATATGTCTTTGAATCTTTTTCCGTCTTGACAACTCTTCTTTCCTGTGTTTAGTGTCCTTTTTCTGGGGTTCCAAACTCGTTGAAGACCGGGGACTCACTGTGGGTGATGACGCCGTAGATATTCCGGGTAATTTAACTTTTTTCATTCCGTTACAATCATCTCCATTCGCGGAATGATTGTCATTGTCTAATGTTTCATTTTCGCTAATAATACTCAAAGTTGTCGTCCATGATGGCTTTACTTCTAAAAATCTACTGTTTGAAATTTCACTAGCTTCTGAATTTGAATTGTTTGGTGAAGACGAAAGTTGTTTGGATCGAGTAGCAATTGAGTTAGCAGGCGGTAATCGTATCTGTGTGTCTTCCTTGTTCGACGTTTTCACAACGGGAAAATTTTCATTTTTATCCGTGACAGATGTATGCTCTGGCGTTACACTCTTCATTTCCGTCGCACGTGACCCACATGGTGAGTAACGCAAACTTGTGTGACTTCCATCAAGTTCACTAGCATTATTGACTTCCCTAGTCTCGTGCGATTTTGATCCAGTGCAACTCTTAAAACAAGGAGCACAAAGAGAGAGCTTGCATTTTGTTACCAGGGTTTCTGGTTTTGACTTTCCGCTCTCGGTCAGGAGTTTTGGCACAGCTCGCCCGTGAAACGAATAAGAGGAGACAACGGCTTTAAGCTCTTCGTAGTTTTTGTCCTGCAGCAAAAGATTAATAATGGTTATTAATGGTAAAACGCTAGGAACTAGAATCTGATTCTGAGAATAATAGAAAACCCACTTGGCCTGATGAATGCGTAAAAGAAAACTGGTTACACTCTCACGAAAACGGTATATCATAATTTTTTGTAGCAGCATTCAAAACACTGGACAACGTAGGGCCACCGGAACATATCATGACTGCACGTCATCCAGTTCTAATCCCTTGACGGCCCGTTCCGCTGGGCAAGGGTAATGGAGGCTCTGTGACCGACACTGTACATAATACTCGTACAGAGTTTGTTTGATGTACAGTGGGGGTAAGGGTGCGTAGTGAGTTGGTAATTACATAACATCTTACCCTTTCTTGCATAGATACAACTTCTTGTTGATATGAGACGGCCACCACGGCAAGGACCAGATTGATGAGATAAAACGAACCAAAGAAAACCACGAACATGAAATAAAAGACATACCATGAACCCATGGAGGCGAGAACCTGTCATTGGAACAAATGAAAAATTAACAATAAAATAATCGAATGGAAAATTTAAAAAAGAGCGCTTCTGAATTACATGGTTGTTTTAAATCTAGAAAGTTAAGTAATGAAACTGTCCAATCAAACTGCCAATCGTTATAAAGTTTAAGGCAAAAGGAACAAGTAAAACCCATTTGAAATACATACAACGTTAAGTTGCGGAAATATGCGAGAAACAAGTCGCAATTGGTTTTTAGCTTTGCACCTGATTGGTCAAGAAGGGCACAATTTTTCTTGACCAATCGCCAAGTAATGTGAGGTAGGTGATACCCCCTAAATACTTTTTAGTCTTGAAAGGAGGCACATCTAAAAAAAACAAGTTTCTTGACTTGTAACAAGATCATGGAGCCTCTAACATTCTTTAATCACTCAGTAGCTTTAGGATATCGTTTCTTCTCCTAGCTGAAAGCTTAATCTTTCGCAAATAGACCCCAATTCTTGTTTCAAGTTTTCCATGAAAATTTATAATTACCCATCCACTCTTTTGGGTATTCAAGTAAAGTACCTTTCCTGCCAGCAAAAATATTGATAAGATACCGTGACTACCTAGAAGATGTTATAAAATCAAACCAGTTGATATTCTCTTGCATCACACTGTGTACTCACATAATTGAAGACATTTTCCCAAAAGTCCATGGTAATAAGTTGAAAAGCAGTTACCAAAGACCAGGCAAAGTTATCAAAGTTAGTGTAACCATAGTTAGGATTGTCACCAACAGACAAGCATGTATAGTTAGCCGGACAGTGACTGAAATGATACCAAAACAAAACAGTACAGAATTAAAAAATTGTATCGTCAAGTTGCTTTAACGCCAAAATGTAGCTCTAAGATTAAGTCGTGATGCACTAACCGTGAGCCTAAGCCAACCATGATTACAACACGATTGAATTTAAACTTGTATTGCTGAGGAACAAACTAGCGAAGTTAACGTTGCTGGTAAATCTGTGCTATTTAAATTTTTTTAAAATTAATTCGAGTCGAGCTGACATAAAGTCACAAGCGCCCAAGCTACCATTGGGTGTTACTAGGATGAACAAAACGAGTTGTTCATTTTACCCAGCAGTTGATGCATTTCCACAAACCATTGGCCCATCGATGCTACTTTTGAACCAAACACCTGTGGAAATAAATTTGAGGTTTTCTTAGCATGTAATCTATCGATTCACAAGTATTGGACGACGTAGGGCCGGGTCAATGGGTAGCAGTGTGCGGCCTTCATCAGACTTCAGTCACCGTCAAAAATTACTCAAATAAAGTTGACCCCTTTTCTGTGCCTACATGCGCCTACTATCTGCAAAATACTTTAAAATGGCTTTTTTGTTTGGTGAAATGGAAACTCAGGCTAAAGAGAAAGCTCATTTGCTGAGGAAAATTGTCAATTCTTCCAAGAAAAGGAATCTCCTATTTGAAATGAACAGCTCATATTTGATCACTGCGTCATAGTAAATGCGGTCTCCAAGTTTATCAATAAAGGTCACCTGGTATCATGACCTTTCTTCACCTAAAAACAAAACTAAATCAAAGAATTGTCATGATTGGCAAGTGTCACTTACTTTCATTGGCTATGTACCTATTGTAACCAACAGAACCTATTGACGGAAGGTCGTTCACACACTTGTTTCTCAGCTGACCCACAAAAAGTTGCATCCCAACCAAGGCAAATATGCACAGGAAAAACAAAGTTAGAATTAACACGTCAGATAACATGGTCATCGACTTGAGAAGAGCGTTCACCATTGTCTTTAATCCTGTCAAAGAAAAACAATTCGTTCAAGATTAATCCAAAACTACTTTGATTTTCTTTAAAGGGAGAACCTTTCAACTTCCTTCAGCAAGACATTAGATGCTTAGAGCCCACGCTGCCTTGAAGTTGAAACTTAGGATCCATTTAACATTAATAAAAAAGACTCGCATAAAGTATATCGCCTGCCTCACCTTCTACCGTTGAAATGGTTCTAAGAGCTCGAAGAACTCGAAATGTTCTAATCCCGGACAAATTGTAGACATTTGGTAAAAGGGTGATGTAACTGTTTAGGAGAAAAGAAAAGAAAAGAATAAACATGTAAACCATTGGCTCTCCAAGAAACGACGTCATCTTTATAAGTGGGCAGCATTTGACCCTCTGACCTCTACGAGTGACTAACATCTAATTTCTCTTTACAATATCATCAAGTAAACGAGAAGAAAGGAAATGATCACCAACTAGAGCAGCTCTTAATTTTGATACCAATTCTCTTTGTCAGGACCTTAAAAAATTTATAAAGAACGGCAAGAAGAATATACTTACTGATGTTAGGGTGACGAGGGTAAAGAAATTACACGAAAAGCCTCTTCATTAGATAGGAGGGAGGTGCAAACGGTGTCACAAGACTGTAGGTCATAAATGTATTTAATTAATAAACCTATGTTGTTAAAAACTACATACTGTGGTACTTACCCCAAAATAACAACAACGAAATCTAACCAGTTCCATGGGTCTCTAAGATAGGCAAATTTGTGCATGCAAAATCCTTTAGCGATGATTTTAAGAATCATTTCAACGGTGTATATGGCAGCAAATACATACCTAGAAAAGAGAAAACATAGATTGATATGGATGAAAATGATACTAAGGGACAGTTCACTAAAAGCAGATCTAAAGGGTAATATTTAAGTTAGTTATTTCCAAATGACATTTATACTAATGGATGTTTCGAGCGAAAGGCTCTGAGCAGGGCTAATCTAGGGTCGATAAAACCAAATCAGTATCCGATTACACATACAGTTTTCCGCGTGACACCATGCGATACTTAGACAAAAACGTTTGTTGAACACTTACTCTGGTTCCTCTGGAGCATTCTTTAAGGCGAGAAAAATACAATTTATTATTATGGTTAGAAGTATAAACAATTCAAAAAATCTATAGTAAAGTTAAGGAGATTAAATGTGTTTAACCCATTGTCGAAACCTAAAGGATTGCGCCATACCCCAAAATTCTATACTGAATTATATCAATTATGCACTACTACTGAGGTTTCATGCACGATAAAATAGTTAAACGCAGGTGGAAATAACATTTTACGAGTTTATTTACATTGTAAAGAATCCAATCGTGCAGCTTAATATCAATATACAACAACACGTTTAATGCAATTTAAAAAATTTCACCCAAAAAGCAACATTGATATGCCATAGTCTTCACCCCAGCCATTACAGAGTACGCACAAAAGTTTTATATTTATCGTGTCCAGAGATTCCTAAGGGAAAGGATAGTTGTCTTCATGAGATTTTACAATGAACCCCGCCATTTGAGATTAACTCGGTAAATTAATGAAGTCTTAGAATTGGTTCACCGCAGACGACTGTTGGTGTGATCTTCGCAAAAATCATTATAGGAGTCAAAATTTCTTTTTGATTGCTCCGAATTGTTCATTGAGAAAATGAGAGATGGAAAAAGGGGGCGAAAACCTTATGAAGTCACATATAAGTGGCCAGGCTGCTACGCAAGATTCAAAATGGCGGCGTCCGCGAGGAGAGTCTTAACCTCATTTGCAGATGATTTTCGGAGGGTTAGGAACTTTTATGAATCTCAAAAAGCAGCCAGTGGCACAGTTCAACACTGTAGACTTCTAAATAGTGGAGATAGAAGTCATGGTTTCGAGAATATGTTTCTTCTCTTATGTTCTATTTAAAAAGGATACTGATTCGTAACGAGAATAATTATTGCTTTCCTCACTGCATTCAACGGTCCAAATAGATAAAGTGATTTCTCTTTGCTAAACCTAAACACGTATTGTCTTCCTAGTCGGGTAGCAATTATCACAAACGTCTGAAAGAGAAAAAATTAAAATGAGTTCAAACATGTTTATAGCAATAACAACGGCAAAAATGAGCTCTTACATTATTGCTATTTGCTATTAACCTAAAATGAACTGCAAAGCTAAATAGCAAAGCATATCTTGATCTAGTCTTTTAGTGAACGGCAAGATATTAATTTTTTTCGTTTGCAGAAAACATTACTCTACTGTCGTTGCTTTTCACAAATTACTTGATTAGTATCGGAAGTAGAGATTCCTTCGGGTTTCATGAAAAGGTGGTTTAAGAAGAAATCCTGTGTGATATTAGTAAAGGTGATCTAAGTGAATCATCCGTAATGTCTGTCACAATTTAGATTTTTCTTGCAAAGGTTTAAAACAACCAAGCAGACAAATTTTTAATGCGACGGATGAAATTTACGTCGACGCTTTAACTAACTTTGGCGTCTTTGGCGCATGCTGTGACGTACATGAGTCAAACTTGGTCATCCGTCTTTTAACTATAGGTTTGACTGTTACACTCTAAAAGCCTACGTTCATCGAATGCTCACCAAAAGGAAAATTTAACAGTGTTGTTTAGCTCTGACGTATTTTTGAGAGGCAGTCGTTCATTAGCCACACTCACCATATTCTTATTAATAAACCCTGCGCTGGTTTCCCATGCCATCGTTGTGCATTGTTGTATCGTGTGCATTGTTCATGTTTGTGTCAAATGATAATCACTGCCAAGCATATAGAAGCTTAAAAGCCTGCTTCAAAACCGATGAAAGACCACTTTACATCGGAAGCTATTGAAATCTAAAAGAAGTTACGCCGGGTGGTTTGGGGTCCTTTCAAAGTTGGAAAACCAGATTCAATTAACAGGGAACAACAGAATATTTGTTCGTAAAGTTACTCCAAAAGAGGCAATGATAAACCAAAAAAAACCCAAGGATGGCGAAGAAAAAACTGATTGCAAATGGCTATCTAGAAAAAATTGAGGCAAGTTTTTCAAGTTACGCCAACCACGATCACGACGAAGTCCACAGAGGCAGAGAACAGCCGTAACCAAGCGCTGGAAAATTATCCGACCCTGTGTCGATTGCGGGAAAAGGCGCGAAATTTGTGGGACGAACCTATCTTTAAAATTAATTAATTTTATACCACATTTTAAGCTTTAGCAAATGTAAACCGTGTAAATACAATTAGACAGAGCCCTTCAACAAATGCCGACAACATTCAGCTTTTTATTTCAGTATCCGAGAGGAAGCTATAGCAATAACAATTTGTAAAATATAGGAATAAATATTGGATTAAAATCTTTAGTACGATAGCTTCATAGTGAAATCATAAATTTTCATGGTTTTATCGCATCGATAATAGTGCTTACGACATAAAGCTATAAGAAGTCATAACCATTTGAATTATTTTCTCAAGCTTTAGGAAATGGGTCAAAAGTCGGATTCAATTGATCTTCCTAAAAAAGCAGAACAAGATACTCGACCACGCAAGACGAGCTGCGACGAACGCACGGCGAGATGCATACCGTGTACCCTTGGTTCAGAATGATTTTCTTTTTTAACAATATCGAAAACATTGAAATGTTCTATCATAGCCATAGAAAACAGTACAGTCAGTTATGTTTATAAAGTGCTCGGTTTCCGCTCATATCATCTTAATATAGTATATTTTTATCGTGCTGGCTTTCTTCGATTCTTCGCCATGGGAGCTGGGTAGTTTACCGTAAGTTTATCGATATTAAAAGTTACGAGTTTGCATGTGAATTACTCACGGAAACCACAGGGTCATCTTTTTTTAGAGGAAATGCTTATGAATATTTCACAATTTACGGACGTATTTCATTTGCATGTGAATTCTGAGTCTAAATTATCAATTTCTTTAATTGTTTTATCTGAAAGGCCTGTCGGAGGCAAACCTAACTCGTTGTGTAACCATTGTCGTCCTGAAGATTTTCTTGACACATGAACAAAATAAAAGCTGAATTTCATTTGAATTACCAATATTTTTTGTAAGGATTTGTAGGGATTAAGTACCCAGCGTAGGTTCCTTGTCAAAATGATTTAGGATCAAGCAAAATGCTTAAATATTAAAATCATGGAAGACGTTTAATATTCCCTTAACAACATTTAACAGTTATTTCTGCGCCAAGGCCTATAACACTAACTTAATGTCGTTAGCCAGTAGCACATTAAAAGTCGGCTACACCGGAAAGGTTTAACTTGAAAAGCAAGATTGTTTTCGCTCAATTAACAAAAATATTGATGATTTTATTCCAAGAGGATTCTCTCTCGGAAGTCTTTTGACACCGAAATTACTCTCACGCGCTCGTCAAAGATTTGTTACCTGCGATATGTGTTGCGCTTTGGTCCGAAACGAATCATTTAATTTAATGGCATTGCTGGGTTTAATGAACAGGATTTTAGTTATTCCTACCAATCGCAAAAACGAAATATTTCATTTCCTTGGCTTTCACGAAAAATTTTGTAAATGACATATGTTGTATTCGAGTACGATCGCAGGTGTCTGCACCGTGTTTAAATCAATTTCTTAAGAAAACATTGTTTATTTTCAGTAATAAAAATACAACGACAAAGATTACTGAAATGCCTGCAATTTATACAGTTTTAATTCTAACCAGAATTTCTCAAGCAAAGGCCACGCAATGTTCACTAAAGTTATTTTTACTATCGGCAGTTAAAAAAATTAAATCTGACAGATATGATTCCGCCTTCCTAGATAGCTCTTTACAATTTCAAACTTGAATTGTCAGGGACTGGAATTCTACGGCATCGAATGGCCCAAGATTATCGCGACATAGGAAATTAATTTTCGGGGAATCTTAGCCATTAAGAATTAGTTTCGGTGTCATGTAGTTTACCGAGCAGAATTAACGATGATAAATATAAAAATTTGTAGTTCTCAACGATCTCTTCAACCATCCTTTGATTTGACTTACTGTGGAAGGATGCTCTGGGCTTATATAACATGAGGTGAAAAGCGACTGATTCTCCGTAAACAAGTAAAGAGGAAGTGTTTATGTTAAACTTTCTTTATACCAATATTTAACGAATTTGTTTGACTTACATTTGTTTGAGGGGAATCGAAGTCCTCCAGGGGTTGATGAATATATTCGGGTGATACTGGTACAAAGTTGTGGCATGTTTGTGATTCACTTGGGCTTGAATTCGGAGAAATTCCGTTAATAGGTATCCCAGATGAGCTCCGAGTGTTAACCTCGCCGCTTATTTTGGCAGAAAGAGTTGAAGACTTTGGTGATATTCTAAAACTGGCGCTTGATTTCATTGTGGTGAAGACGCTGAATTAGCATTTTTAAAATGCTTCACGCAGAGGAGACTTTTTCGAGCTTATGTTCTCAGTATCTTATATTGCCGAAGGACACTGCATTTATAAAATCAACAACGTTTCCCCCTTCCACTGCATCTCAACAAACAAATTAAAAGCATGCTTCACGTTGAGACGGCGGTCGTACAGAGCTATTATAAATACATCGTCGCTAGATCATCAACACAGATTTTACCGTTTCGAGCTGCAAGCACGACATACAACAGACCACTCCAAGACTCGCAAATACCTTCCTTTCGCCTTTGCTATTTTAACTGTCAGGTTTTAGAAGCTGTTGGACTTCTGTGCAACTTTGTGGTTTATTCACAGAGATTGTTTGGTGTCAAGTGAATATGACGTATCTGGTTCTAATCACCAAGGATACTTTTGTATACGTCGCACCTGCCTCCGTCGGAGCAAACTCGAGCTCGAATTTCTCGCCAATCAAGAAATTTAAACGAATAGATTGGACCGGAAGAAAGAATATTGAATACTTTGGACTCCATTGGGATAGCAAAAAAAATTCTCCGAGTTCTCTACACTTCCTCTTCAACAAAAGAGCCCGAGAGGATGAACTCTACTCGAATTGAGCACGCGCTCGTTAGTAATAGAATTCGAAAAACAATTGCATAAAAAAAGGATAGTGAAATAAAGGATCGATGAGCCTGACTTCGACAATAAATAATAAAGAAAAAAAAAAGGGGAAAGGAAATGGTGAATTTGTATGACGATGTGAAACCCTTCTGCAATAAATGGACTCCTCATTTCTAGAGTGACATAAGTTGGCAGATATAATTATTTCAATATGGTAAAATTACTAATTTGGCATTCTTCCATAGCGGATTGTGTTTCCTCGGTGAGTTGAAGGCATTGACAAACTGAATCATCATCGGATCACAACAGGATGAAGAAAGTAATTTTTACTTTCAAGCAAAGTCTGATTCTGCGAAGTGATCGATGACCAGCTTTGCGTAGAGTTCTTTTACGTTTCCAAAAAGGATAAATGGATCAAAACAGATTAAAGACAAAGTGAAGCCAAAAAATCCTACATATTTATCCACTTGCGACTGACAAATAATTACAGGCATACTACTGTTCCACAGGCTCTCTAGAAAACTTGTGAAATGGTTATATTCTTAAAATGCATAAAATAACATTGAAGACAAGCTATAGTTAGACTTCACCTGTTTATCTTTGTGCAATATTAAAATTTTAACAACCTTTATGACAGCCGTATTTTAACTTGATGGAGCTGTTGATAAATTAACGAGAATCTTTTATGCTGCTCTGGTCGGAGGTGTCAGTGTGTAGGGTAAGTTTCGCCGCTGAAAACTAACTAATGACGCATCTTCTCTGACATTCGTCGCTTAAAATTTTTCAGGTTAAAATTGTGTTGAAGTGACGTTAAATTCTCATACTTTTGCAAGGAAAATTTGTTATAGGGGTAAAGAGAATTCGACAGTTACATTTTAAAAGAACAAAGAGCATCAAAGATATTTTATACGACATATTGGCATCAGCCTACCACCAAATCAAATTCTGAGATCTGGCAGAATTTTGTAACTGAATAGCTCCGTAATTTTGTACTCAAAGGGCTGTTGATAGATATAAACAGATGTCTTACGTACTTTGCGGCTTCCAGAAAAGCAAACAGTATCGAGTAACATGCTTAGAGGAATATTTCCCATCGGGCACTTCTCCATTAACGAGCATGCATTTTATCTAGACAGCGGCTGCTCAAACACTGCTTTCTGGATTCAGATAGAACTCAAAAGTGAATCTCGGAACGGATAATTTGAAAAAATATATGATTATGATGATAACAGAAAAAAAAATTCTAGACTGTGTTAATGGTCATTTCTTTCTAAACAACTGATATACTCGTTTCGTGTACCTGAGTGAAAAAGCGGAAAAGAGTTATGATACTCATTTATTCTGAACTGATCTAAATTTCTTTTAACGGCAGTCAGTTGTCACCTTCTCGTTCAGAGGTTGAAGGCAGAAATCTCTTTAAACAAGTGAAACCCGATTACACCTTACCCTGAGCCTCAACTTTAACCACAAATTGCTAAGTCTCATTTTGAAGAATTTCGTTTGATCACATTTTGTTTGTTACGTTCGCCCTTTCTCCAAGGACTTGG